TCCAGCACCAAGGCGACCATTCTTTAAAGCATTGAGAACCCCCAACACTAAACTGTTTGGGGAAAAATGCTGGAAGTATTGAACTAAGACTAAGAGTGGCCCATGCAATAGTCATCGCAAATCATTCTATCACTACTCAAAAGTCGTTGGTAAAGACAGCAGGGCTGGCCGGTGCAGCTGCGAAGGAGCTTGCGCTACAAAGTGAGCCACCTCTACAAACCCTTCATATAGCCAGGTTCTTTGATCTGATGGAGGGACACTGTCATGGGGGCGATTCAATTGAAAAAGGTCCAGCAGTCTAGCAATTCATATCAACTCCAAGATCAAGGGTATAATACAATTTCCAGTGAGCTGCTTGCTTATTTGGTGAAGTAAACACCCCAAGGCCTCTCTGCAAGCAGTACCATCCGGGTGATTCAAAAGAAAAACGAAGAACACAATAAGACTCCAAGATTCTCCGTCCAAGCAATTTAAGTTACACAGCATCACTCCAAAGGAACGCCTGTTTTCCGGTTTCCACCTGTTTCCACCAGGCTTCCGGTGGGGAACAAACAGGCACGGCCGCCGCACCAAAACCGGTGGCTCGGTAAAGCCTCGGTAAAGCTGCCAGCGTCGATGATGCGGTCGAAGAGCTCCCCGCCGGAGCACAGCTCCATGACCAGGTAGATGTTCCTGACCACGACGTATTGGACACCGTGCCACTATCTATTCGGGGACCACGACAATCCACTACATGTTGGATGGATCATGATGGATCTGGATATATCTAGATGATCGATGGTTTGCATATGTTTGGCGGGTTTGCTGGGATCTTTCAGGCTTTGTGCAAAGAACCTGTCTGGTTTTGTTTTAGTTATAGTTGCGTGGGTGACGCGGTGATGCTCAGCGTCACTTGGGTCCATGCGGATTTGGACTTCTCTGAGCCAAACCCATGATCACCCTGCTAGGGCTGCCAAACTCGCTTGGTGGAGAAGGCACCGATGGATGCTGTGCGGGATTCCTTCTCGGGCCATTCCGAACAACGGCTTGTGAAAGTGAAATGCTTGGTAGATAGTCATTCTACGGGTCGCAAAAAACATCCAAGATCTCGTCCCCCCGTTGAGACAGCTGCCGTGCCAGCTAGCGAATGTTCCATCTTTGCAAGTCCGCTAAATAGCAAGAGAGCTGAGGGACACACCTTGGTGGAGACCCGAACGAATGATCGAAGACTGGCTGTCTTGAAAGAAGCCAGGGCTCGATATGAGGCTTACGCTATGTATCCGCAGACTTATCCGTAGCTGTTCTGCACTGCAGGAGGTCATGCATGTAGAATTTGATCTGAATCTATTCTTCCGTTCCAATCTGAATTATTTAGCGCTGACCATTTGATGACTTCAAGAGCTTGGCAAGCTTAAGTCGGCTGAACCCAGGGCGCCAAAGCTTCCCCGGCTTACCACCACCCCTCGCCTCAAGTCCTCAAAGCTTTCGTAGAGCTTGATGATATTAGGATGATCCTGACCCAGTCGCAGGAGTCTTAAAGTTGTGGAGAAAAAAACAACTATTCCTGCTCACACCTTAACGGAAGCTGCAAAAACGAGGCTCTGCCCACCAGCCATCAAAGGGTCTGCCACCATGAGAAAACACATTACCAAAACCTTTCCCTCTGTTGGAACTGCTCGCAGCTCTCCCTACACATGCCACGCACCATTCGCCAGGGTCGTAGGCGGTCCATCATCTTCATGATGGCGATCTCCTGCTTAAAGCGCTCGATGTTCTTCATCTTCCCCTGCAGACACCACATCGGCCCATCGGCACGGCGAGACTTAACGTTGATCCTTCGTTCGTGTCCGCGGTGCTATTTTTGGATAGAAGGTGGGTAGAAGGTGGGTAAAAGAGTAGAAGAGAATTACTAAAAGGATGGCAAATTTGCGGACCGAACGACTCGTGGGTCTTAGGAACTGGCCATGTCTATCATGTCTCATGGCAGCGATGATACTTTGATCCAAGTCCACCCGGATCCGCCCGCCGTTTGCTGCGTCGTTCGGTTTCCAGCGCCTTGGCGATGGTTTTCACGGCTCGGATGGCGTTGGTTGCCTTGTTCTTGCCCTTGCAAACGTAACCGTAAGACCTGGAAGCTAAGCGCTCACGCGGGTTCGGAGACGATGTTGCCTTGCACCCGGAAGATGAGATGGCTTGCTTGCCCTTTGTTACTAGTAACGCCCTTGCTCCTAGTAGCGATGCCCTTTGCTCCTAGTACTAGCTTCTTGCTCCTAGTAGTAAGGTCGGAACCCCTAGTAGCATCTAGTAGCGTCCTTGCTCCTAGTAACGGTGCCCTTTGTCACTAGTAGCGAAAAAGGATTGCTAAGAACTGCATCGCACACATCAGCGATGTTGAGCCCAAGCTGATCGAAGGTGGGTGCGTCCTTTCGAGGATCTCTCTTGAAGGAACGACGGGTTCCATCTGAGCTGGCCGCCCTTCTCCAAGCTTCTTCTTGTCCAGGTCGTAGAAGTCCAAAAGTTTTCCTCGAAGTGACGGTGCGATTGTCGGCTTCTGGGGGCCTAACCTTTAACAGCATAGGCCTTTCCCTCTTCAAGCACTGGCAAAAAGAGCAAATGTGGCTAGAAAAGAGTATAGATCGACACCCCCAGGGCACAGGCCAAAATTGGCCAAAAGCTGAAACAGCGAGAAATGTTACAGTACTTTGAGAGCAGAAGAAAAAACAATTAAAATACAATCAATACAATTCATGAAGAAGAACCGCTCCCAAAGAATATTTTGGTTACCTGAAACGTGCGGAAACGAACTACACTCAGCTTGCAAAAACCTGGGAACGACACCAGGATTGTCGATGATAAACTGTGCTCTGCCCATGGCTGTCGAGGCTGTCTCTTTCCCCTGGCGCGAGGGAAAGTCAGACTCCCGAAACGGAGACCGGCATGCATTCGCACAAGTGGTTTGACATGGCTTGAAATATCATGGCAAATCGTAGAGAAAGTGGCTAGCAGCCATTTATCGCTTGGACATTATACTAGGCCGCCACGTGTGAAAGTACTACAACATTTTAACAAATATCTTAAACATGACCCAGCTATGTAACAGCTGCTCACAAACAAATGTGGCTAGATTGCTGGGCTGTTCAATACACAAAGGAAGCTTGGAGTCCCCCCTCATCTCCAGTCTCAGGCCCAAGGGCATGAAACCACACGGCCTTGTCATTGGATTTCTCCGGTGCCTGCGCGCGATTGGTCCAGGCACAGCGGGTTCCCATGGAACTCTCAGTGGGACGTCGAAACACGATCGACGAAGGCGACGCACCTCAGCCGGCTTTGTACTCGTACAGCCCATGGCAGCCTTGCGAAAGGCAACAAATCCTCCCAACTGCGAAGGCCATGAATTCATGAATGGTGAACATGAGGGCCATTTGGAATGGAAGGCAACATGTTGCAAACCAAATTTGATTTGCAGCTATTCTCTCGAGCCAGGGACAACAGTCAGAAACATCGTAGGCCGGCAACTTGTTCTTGATGCACACTTTGTTACAGTCAGTGTACCTTTTGTAGATGGCTGGGGAAACATGAACTTTAGGTTCGTCGCCAACCAAAACTACCTTGACTACCCCAAAAATGCTAGCTACCATTAAAAGGCCGCTTTGTGGCTTCATGATGGGCTTCAGTGAAGCCTTCCCCTCGTGGCATTGGACAAGTAGTTAGCCAATATGTGTCGATACGTGCGCACACGACGAAGTCTTCCACATGTCCCAAATCCCGCCCGCCTGTGCCCTATTGGGCTATATAGAGCAAAGGTATGCCAAGGACTACTCTGGATCCAACGGCGACACAAAGAGCAAGTCTGGTTGCTGGTGATTGACCTGCTCCAACGAGTCAACCAGTGAAGAGCACTATGTAATGCAAGGTTCTTGTCCGATCAACAAATTCCTCTAATGGGCTCGTTGTCGTAAACGTCTCTTGCCATTCTTTTGGTTTCCGGAGCAAATCGTGTGGGTGGTCTAACGCTTGAATGTAAAACGTGAACTCTGTAGTTGCAAAGCAATCTGGCTCTCCTCTGCAACGGGAAAGACATGGAACAATGATATACAGTGTTATGTCCCGTTTGTTTGAAATCGAGGACAATGCCTCTCACATGCCTCTCCTCTTGGGCCAGAAGGAATTGAGTGCTTGCCTTTCTTTTGGACACGACCATGTTCCACAATGCGTCCGGTGCATTGCTTATTGCACCACCACACCCTCACTAGGCAGAGACCTGTTGGCGACCTCGACATAGCAGCATGCGGCGAGTCCCGGGCATGGGAGCTGATCTACCACACATCACTCGTCTGGCTGATGGCGAGCGAATGCCCGAGGGTCTGGCCTTTTCAATCATCCCACAAAAAATATAGAGGGGAGGAGGCTGCAACATGTAACTGACATCTTTCCAGGATTCAGTATCTAAAAACCACTGGCCTCCGATAGTCTAGCACTTTTTTGATGTTCTTCCATTTTCATTTGGGCTTTTCTTCTTTTTCGTTTCTTTCTTCCTTATCTTTTCGCTCTCCCTTTCTTCTTCTTCTTCTTCTTTCCAGTATGTATCTTAAACATTCTTAAACTATCTATAGTTTCCATATATGTGCCCCTTAGGTTTCCAGGTACATACCACTGTTTTAAAGGCCTCTGCCAGTCTAGCTTATATTTTTGGTCAAGTTGTGTTTTCCTTTCTTGATCTTGATCCTTTCCTTTCATTTGTCCTTTAGACATATCTTCCTTTTCTTTCTTTGCTTTTCTATCTTTTGTTCCTTTTACTTCCTTCCTCCTTCCTTCCTTCCTTCCTTCCTCCCTCCCTCCTTCCTTCCTTCCTTTCGTTCTTCCCAGTTGCCAATAGACCGTAGGGGCCATGTATTGGGAAGCTTCATTGTTTTCCAGTATGTAACGGTATGTATCTTTAGCTATCGAGTTGTTTCCTTCAGATTTATAGGTACATACCACGGTAGCTTTAGAGGCCTCCAAAAATCTGATTTACACTTTGAGAGGTTCCTCTTTCTTAATGCCTTTCTTTGTTTCTTCTGTAGGAAAAGACCGTTCGTTCTTTCTTTCTTCCGTTCTTCTTTTGTTTCCTTTTAAACTTTATTTTGTTGTTTTCTGTCTTCTTTATATATTCTTTTTCGTTTTGTTTCTTTTGCCATATAGTTACAGGGTCGCGCATGGACGTTTATGGACTCGACTGTTTTCTCCACTATGTATATTGAGCTTATCTAGTTTCCATATGTTTCCGTTAGATTTCTAAACACACACCACAGTTTGGAGGCCTCCAAACTTGTAGCCTACATGCAGCATAGAGCCAATCGCTTTTGGCAGTTACAAAGTGTAAATCGCACACTCGTCTTTAGTGTCAAGATCAAGAAGTTATAATTGACACCCCCAAAAAGAAACATGGTCTTGGGCTTCGGGGGTGCAACATGTAACTTCCAACATGGGAGGTCTGATGTTATACCTGTTGAGACCCCGTCCATCCCCAAATACAAACCCATGTAGATCTACGTCGGTTCCTGGATGATGTTATGTAGCGCCTTTGTGGATGTTGACGCTGGCAGCTGAGTGAACCAGCCACCACAAGTATAACTTCTAAACAGCCACCAGTTACGAGGTGCATGACATCACAGCTCAACGTGAGGTGCCTTTCCACTCAAATTCACCATGTCAAGCTCCTTGCCTAGGCGCCAGCAACAGGCCTCCCAGCTGCAAGAGCCGAGAGGTTCGACCATTGAGGAAATGCACCACAATGCAACAATGATCGCAACAAGAAACGGTGGGATGATATGGGACTCAAAGGACATCCGCAAGTTCGTTGGACTAGGAGCAAGAAGCTACTAGGGGCTCCTGGCATCGCTACTAGGAGCAAGGACGCTATTAGGGGCTCCTGGCCTTATAGAACGAATCACACACTGTGCACGAGTCCTTCGCTCTCCGCCTTTTTTGCATGTCGTGCTTCTGTGGCGAGCGGCGGTCGCCACATTGGACATGGCTTTAAAATGAGACACGTCACCCATATAGTCTCCAGCCGCACCAGTACCCCGGTCAATTGGTTTGACCCAAAGAACTCTTTGATTTAAAATGATTTACATAACAAGACCGACCGATTCACAACACAACGCGTGCGGGGCCAAACGTCTTCATCAGCTTCACATGTCTGCATTCCACCGCTGGCTGACGATACTGGTTGCCTTGAAATAACTGAAATGACACACCCGACGTCCCCAAGAACGCCTAGAGCTCGGTTCGGGCACGGGTCTGCCAAGGCCACACGGTCAACAACTTCAATCGGTTACGCCTTTGACTTCAAGGTTACTTCTCTTTTCATGTGTTCGCATCTTTGTTGTTTGCCTAATGACCTGCACACCTTTCCACACCGCAAAAAACAAAAACCACCCAAAAGTAAGCGCTTCCTGAAGATAGAAACAGATTCTTCCTCCTTTGCAGGGATATGCAAAAGTCTGTCATAGACAGAAAGCTTGTTGCCCACAGGGGTCTAAAGTAAAACAGGAGGACAAACTGAGGAAGCTTCGCAACATGGCATTATCTTATCTAAAGGGAGAAGCATGAACGTCGAACAAGCTGCAAACAAACGGCCACAAACAAAACCTGAACTGAACTAACATATATAAGCACTGCTCAGCAACCAGTGTCGTTGCATTTGCCTAAGCTCACCCTCTGAAAACAAAAAAGGATGCAAGCAATTGTGTATATATATACTGTATATGATGACATGAAAATATGTCTTTGCAGGAGGTTTGAACGTTGTAAACATTTGTGCAATCTGTTTTGCTGAGCAAATGGCAAGACCTTTCGCATGTATATAGAAGAGATACTCCGCCTGACACACTTTCTGCATCTAACTTTTCTGTGGGACGGATGTCCATGGTATCGAAAAAAAAGAAAATTGCTGACTTGTATAGCTCAGGCCTGATGTGCTCCTTCCGAACCGACTTGGCGTGTCAAGCAGACAAGCTGCTGATGACTGCTGAGAAACATTGAACATGTCCAGGAACCATACAGTAGTGACCCCACATAAGGAGAAGCCCTTCCTCTCACTCCCCGGTTTCTTTGAAGTCTTGCTGCGTCTTGCTGCATCCATGTCATCAGACATCATACCGCCCTTGGAGACATCCATGAATGAAGGGTCATATTATGACCGGCGCATAGATGCCCTAGCCGGCAAATTAAATCAAACAGAGAACGATTTTTCACGCTCACGCACACTCAGACTCATTCAGAGATGTCTGCTTTCCAGCCGAAATCAGTGGTGGATTGGTCTCATTTGCAGTTGCAAAACACAGAATTTGGACCTTGAGCACGAAACAACAGAGTACAGGTTCCTGAGCTGGAAAGAACAATGAACAATCATTGTACATCATTGTAATTGTATATCATATTGTGGCTCCAAGCCAGCCACATCCAGACCTTCCCATAGAAACTCTGAAATCCCAGACCAAGCTGCTCCCTTTGGTTACACCAACGAGCATATCCACTCAGCATATTTTCAATAGCACACAATTACGGTACACAGATATTAGAACTATTCCAGCTGCAAACAACTCCAAATGATATGGACAGTGTCAGTCCCTGAAATGTTGCACCAAATTGAGTCTATTTCGGCGAGAAAGACATATTGTCGCCCCTCAATCGCCGTTCAATTCGGAGGTTTCCGAACAACTGAGCAAGTGCACAAACCTTCATGTGTCTTGTGATGTGTTGACACGATGTTGACAGCATCCAAAGCTGGGTGGTTGGATTGGACGTGCCCAGTTTTAGATAGTTTAGACAACTCTGACCCCAAGCGCTCAAAGACGCCTGCTTTCCAGCCAGTTTCCGTCGGATTGTCTCCAAGTCCGTCACCGATCTGTAAACCGGGCAAAGTGATGGATTGATGGATGACTTTCTGAGTTGAGATGTGAACAAACTATTCGATACATGTTGGCCTGCAGGCAACTATGGACACGCTTCAGTCCTTGAAAGTTGCACCAAAATAAGGTGCTAGGTTCCTAACATGAGTTTCTGCATCTGAGCGTTACGCAAAACTTCGTGACGCCAAAAACTAATATCAGGAGACCTGAAGAAAGCAATCTCCGAATGCAAAAGACCGGGGGCCACGAGCCCCACCCTGTCAGGGATCCACTTCGCCTTACTTAGGCCAAGTCTCCCTGACTCAGCTTGCCAAAATCAGGTCGCTAATTAGGACTGCATGGCATCGAAATGTCGATCGATGTGTGATATCACTCTGTGAGAAGCTAGCACAAGCCACGTAGCACATAGGCAAGTCACCCAAGATCTGCGTGCAAACCCAGTGAAACCTCAGCACCGTCGAGTAATTACAAATGAGTCGGAAGCGAGTCTGACTTCGGGCTTCAGCCCCCCCATACCGAAGCCAGCTACGAGTTGGAGGATGATGAAACATCCATCCTGCAGTCGTCAAGCTGGGGAGAAATCGACAAGATTTTTCGCCGCCGACAGGTACGGGGATCGCCAACAAGTCAAAACAATGACCATAGTAGTAACAAGAAGCTACTAGGAACAAGTGCATCGCTTCTAGTAACAAGTGCCTTACTAGTAGTAACAATAAGCTAATTATGAGTAACCATGATCATATTGTGCTTCATTTCACTTCCAAAACCTCCGGCTTCCTGTGACAGCGAAGCTGTCTCATCTTGAAAGTCTGATGATGCACTCCCTGCCTCTAGGGTAAATAAGGTTGAACATGGGCTCAGCTTCGAAAAGGAAACCACAAATGCAGATGAGACACAGCAAGGAGGGAACACTGGATGACCGAATTCTTGAAAAAACGCTGCGTGGCACGAAAAACACATTCAGCACTTCAATGTCTTCTCTCCGAGTTCCTGCAACCATTGGTCTTCACAGTTTGGCGCTTGGACCAAGGGATCCTTTGCAAGCCTTGCGAAGAAACACTCCCAACCGCGTGGCGGTGGAAAGCGTGTCAGGTTGGAGGTACCCGACCATACTGGAGATGTAGGAGAGACACCAAGCTTCTGAAAAACCTCACGGACTTTCTCCTGCGAAGCTCGACCACCGTACTCGTAAGCAGTTCGGCCCCAGGAGTCCTTGGTTCTTGCATCTGCACCGAAGATGAGAAGTGCCCACGTGATGTATGGATTGTTCTGTTTCACTGCCTCATGCAGTGGATAGGTCACAAAGAGCTTTCCCTTATGGCCATTGGGATCCGCCGAGAAGTGGTTCTTCATCAAGAATTGCTTCACATTCCCCACGGCTTTTGCCATCTCCCTCCGATGCTTCACAATGGCCCGGTCTGCACGGTCACTGTGGCAGCCATGTTTGTGTCCTTCTGGTCTTTCATCAGAGATGTCCGCATCCACATGCTCGACCATCGAAAGCATTGCTGCTTGAATTGGTCTGGAAGTTCCACTTCCGCACTTGTGACACCAGGAGCTTGAAACGGCTGCATCCGATCAAACATCTGAGTCTTCCTTGCAGGAACAATAGATTTAATAGATTGGAGGGCATTGCCATTAGGTCAGAGGCCACTGGTGTATGACTTTTTCCAAGACCTCAGTGGCTCGACGCCTTGGTCGCCATTTTCAGGTTGACCACAATGGCTTAGGTGTTTGTCCAAACACCCGCGGTTTGACCCGGCTGTTTCAGTCGATCCCGCCTCGCTGTTCTCAGCAATGCCTCGTATACGGCCTCACACAGCGTCCGGATGGGTAGCCGGTGTTCGCGGATTTCTTTTGCTTTCAAACAGGGCAAACACTGAGTCGGATTTCTGGAGTAGTGTATATATATACACATAATTATGTCCCAACAGTTTGCCAGTGGTTGCGTCACCAACTGGACCAACTAGGAACACCAACAGTGTTGAAGTGATGCACATGCGAAAACTAGAACACCGACCATTGGCAGCTGGGGCTCCCTTTTCTTTCAAACCCAAATCTCAAGTCTCCCTGACAGTTCACTTGAAGAGACAATTCAGGGGTCCACATGGCTCAACCATTGGTCTTCTCAGGACACTTGGGTCGCTCTGTTGCAGGGCCGTCGACCCCGTGTCTGGCAGTGACCAATCAAAGGGTTAGACTGGCAAACAACTGGGCTTGAGAAGCTAGGACACAGCCTGCAGTATAGAGCCTTTTTCGAAGCTTCTTTAAGAACTCCCCATCCCATCTCATCCACCTCTTGAAACCCAGCTGCGGACCTTGAAAACACATGAGCAGCTCTGCCAACTTGCACAACTCGATGGTTGTATTGTTAGACTCACATACTAGTATTACATAGTATTACAGATACTGATGCACAGTAAACTGTGTTGTTTTCAGCTCTGAAGTTCTCAATATGTCTGTTCGAGATTGTCGGGCAAACTCATCGATGTCCAACATGATGTGAGCAAAAGAGAACTTGCCGGAAGAAAACACGAGCACATGTCACACGTCTTCGCATTGCCAAGTCCATGAGGCTCACTCGTTCCAATCTCTCTCCGAGTCCAGAACTGCTGAAAAGACAGACATCTGCGCTTCCCAAAAGAACCAGTTAAACAGCAGCTGGTTTCGTACAATGGTAGCGGTCAATTTACATCTGTGAACACACCGATGATAGCAGTGTTAGTCGCGGATCAGGAAACTAACTCATAGGTCACGGGCAAAGTAGTTCTCTTTTAAATTTACAAGAATCTCTGCATTTCCACGCTTTCCACGCCTCCCACGAACCCAGAAAAGCATCAAAACTAAACGCATGCCATTTTAGACATGCTGCTCACACTTGTTCTGGAACGGAAGTGGAACACTTCAGGCACTGGACATTTCAACCAAGGGAGAGATCCTCAACCTGATCTTGTTCAACCTGATGAGGGGGTCATGCACCGGTGGCGAAGGTGTTATTATATACAACAACTATCAGGTGAGGCTTCATTTCATTCTGACACTTTGCACGAAAACACTGTTGGTGCACCAAATCTTCTATCATTGCATCCTTATAATCTTTAACACCTACAGTACTTCCTTTTCCAGTAGTCCAGGTATTACATGGTATTACGTTGACCCTAGCCAGCACAGGTTGGCTTCAATTACATCCTTTTCGCCACTTCTCGAGCTGTCCGAAGTGTCAAAATTGCTGTCGGGCAGCCTGGCTGCGCTCAGCATCGATGGAGCCAGCACAATTCACATGAATCTTGTTTTTTTGCAGTAACATTTCTGTATAATTTGCGGTGATAGGTATACTACTATATATATATATTTTAAACAACTTGTATATAGTTATATATTCATGTAAACAAAAATAATCAAAAATACATAAATACACATAAATAAACTATACCGTGCCACAAGAAGGCCCCCACGTGTCCATGTGCACTAGACATCTTCTCGTTCGACGCCTGGTGCGTCACAGGCGGCTCCCCGCCGCGGCGGCGGTCCAGGTCGCGGCCTTCGCCGCCCTGGAGGTCTTCCTCGGACATCGACGAGTGGCGACAGGCTTCCTACGAGCGATGGCCTCCAACCTAATAGCCTAATGGGAAAGGGATTGGATGCAGAACCTCTGAGATTCGACTTCTAGCTGCTTGGCAGCTAGAAATTGGCAGGTGTCCTTTCAAGCTCCAAACGCATTGGGTGCAACATTTTGTAGAAGGAACCATACCATATGCACAGTACTCCAGTTTATACCCACACACGTACTGACAAAAAAGGTGAAGAGCCACTCACTACATGTTTCTATTTTTTTCTGCTCTCTCTCTCTCTCTTTCGATATGCCCAAACCAGGAACCCGGTTCATAAAGGAACTCCCGGATCACTGTGAAGGGTGATGTGGTGCACACGTACTGTCCACGTGAACGGGGGGCTTTCGGCACCTCACCGAGCAATGCGAGGCGACGCTCACGGTGGGATCAGCATGAATTCGGGGCGACACTCAGGCTTGGGAAGGAAGTGGGAAGGGGCCGGCAGTATGTATTGTGCAAGACACCATGACATATACATACCAGAACAATAGGTTACATCACATCACATTCCGTTACGTTACCACTCGGCAGTCAGCTCTGCAGTCGCAGGTACTCCTGGAAGACGGGTCCTGGCCCTTCTGTGTTGGTGCCCGGACAAGAAGTGCCTGATCAACGACCAGAGCCAGAACAGCCTCACCAGCATGCTGCAGCTCCTGACCGAGGTCTTGAGGGCGCAGGCCTGGGATCCCAACCTGTTCTGGAAGTTCCAGCTAGGCGCTCAAACCACCGGAGACACCGAATGGTCACCACTCCTTGGAAGGCGAGCCTCCGGGGCGACCACATGCCTCCAACTCCATTTGGACACTCCTGAGACGCACAACAACCATGCGAGCGGACTGCGGACACATCAGCCGTGCCGCTCAACCATCACAACCACCTTGCAGACTTTGGGAAGGGCCGCTCCCAAGGTGTCAAGGGATGACCGATGCCACCGATGCAGGAGAGAGCTCATCTCTTCTCTGGAATGGGCTGACTTCATGCAAGCTATATATCAGGCCATTCCACAATGACAACCACTGGTGCCACGCCAACTCTGTAGCTTATTCTTTCTTTTGGTGCATTTCCACCCAGCCGTCTTTGTTGGAGAGTGCCGTGGGGCAGCATGAAAGTCTTCTGCATGATGTCTTTGCCGAATGCTTGGAGGGCCTTGCTCGCTCCATGACTCTAGTCCTTTGGAGTCTCTTTTCGAAAGTTGGACACCTCAAAGGGACAACAGTGTGCCTCTTAGTTTCTGTTCTACCTGTTGGATTGGCTTCGCGTGCCTGACATTCACAACAGCTGGGTCCGGAGACTTTCCATGGTGGATGGGATACATGCATAGGATCATGGAGGGGCACATGCGGGGCACATGCTCCATTAGTCTTTGATAGATCAAAAGTGCTTTCTTTGCAGCAACTTGTCAATAGCTAGAGTTATGCTCTTGGAACTCAATCTCCATTGCCTTTAAGGTTATGCAGTGCTAAAACGAGACATCTAGCGTGCGGAAAGGTCGATAAAAGGTCATCACATCACATCACTTTACATTAACATTACATTACATTCCAGTGCATTAAATTAGTACAATACATTGCATTACATTACATGAGTACAACACATTACACCATATACATTAATTACATTCCATCAGCACATATAAATGCATTATTAATTACGTTACGTTACGCTACGTTACCTTACCTTACCTTATCCTACCGTACCTTACATTACATACACAAGATACTTACGTAGTTGAACCACCAAAACCGGCGGCCATGCTGGAAGTTGTACAAAGACCGCATGTGGGGAACATCATCTGTATTTGAGCGTGTCTGAAACCAGTGAACCTCCACCAAAGAGACTAGGAGAACACATCCAAGACTGTCCATCAAACTTGGATCTCAAACAGCTGTAGTGCCCTAACACCAAGCATCAAGCGATCTACGAACTTTGCGTTGGAGCAAATGCCCTCCACTGTTTGCGCCAAAGCCTTCTGAACGTTCTGGTAGACCTGACATGAGATTGCCATGCTGAAAACTACAGACTCCGATTCCGATTCAAAAGCTGTAGCTCGTCCCACACGTGTGCTATCGTCTGCTCACCCAAGCCATCCAGTGGCAGGACTTGTCCTGCTCCGGTTTCTGTTTAAAATCAGGGCGGATCTCCCAGCCATCACCCCAGGGACGTCGCCACTCCAGGCCTTCTTGGCCTTCCAAAACTCGGAGACCTCTTGGGCCTTGGCCTCCGTGACGAAGCCGATCCCCGAGACGCGGACCATGTTCCTCGGTGAAGGGAAGGGTGCGGAGCGACCACAAAGACCCCCGGCCAGAGAAGTTCCTTTAATGTACAGTTTACAATACGATGTATATGGTTATTCTGTCTTCTATACTGTTTCTAGCGTCAAGATCCCCTAACATCTCTGGGTATAGCGGAGATCTTTCTTGGTGATCCAATTGGACCGTCTGCCCACCAAAGGGTGAGGCGAAGATTTTGCTTCAGATTGATGTCAAGGCATCCTGCCAGCAGACAGGCGAACTCGCGTGGAACATCGGAAAAGCACAATAGGAACATGATGTGTCTTGGGCTGCGTGTTCTGACCCGTTTGGAAATCCGCTGGCAAGCTTTGGTTTGCTAGTTATCGGAGGATCCATCGATCCTGAGGTCATTGGTCGGCAGATTCGGTTGGGAACCCGTGCAAAACCAAACCGAAGCAAAGAATCATAAGGAACCTTTCCGTAGATCGAAGGTCCCCATGGCCCCACCTACTTCAATCACATCCATGAGTGGCTTCAGCATGATTAGCTGAGCAGGAAAGATGATCCAAAGATTAGCTGAGCTTCTGGAACAACATCATGCTAGTAGCGCCGATCCTGAGTGCAAAGGACGGCACGGAAAAGGCACGTTGGGTCCAACGCGTCAAGAAACGGGTCCTGGATGGTCCCCATTCAGGCCTGCTAAGAAGTAGCATGAAGTACGTAACATGAAGTAAGCATGGGTCCTGTGTGATCCTGTGTAGGGGGTAGAAAACATACATTAAAACCATCCTTGATTTCCTCAGGAGCAGCCC